CGTCTCCTTTGACCACTCCTTCTGCCGCTTCCATGGCCTTGTACGCCACCCACCCCTCGTCAATCTTCAGGTCATACTGTTCTTTGATCCGCGCCAAGGACTTCTTCTGCCACTCAACGGTGTCTCGGTCGCGGTAGCGTTCTCCCCACGAGATATCCCTCTGCAGCTCCTTCGCCATTAAGTGCATCCGCATCGTGTCCAGGAGCCAGGTCATCACGTTCGCATCCATGGCTCGACCCAAGGCGGCTCGCCGCTGTTCCTCGGTCACCTCTGGGTGCGCCGTAGCTCCCCACAGATGCCCCATTGCTGCTTCTCTTTCATTTGCCGTTGGCTGCTCCCAAGCTCCTTTCCGCACGTCGTAGACCATCCGTGGGCCCGGCAGATCTCCCTCCATGATGAATCCGCGGGCTTCAGCGTAGGACACCAAAGTCGGCAGCGCTTGCTGTGGCTTCCCCGGCTCATTACACTGGTACTGTGACGGGTGATCTGCGCACGTCACCGGCGCTGGCAACCGGTTGGGCTTCAGAATGTCACTCACTAAGCGTGGCTCTGGCCGCTGCATCAGCGCCAGTAAGTGTCGTAATGCGGCGGTAGACATCACATTCTGCCAGTACCGTCTCGGCCGATGGGCTCGCGACCCCAGCTGCGCTGCGTCGGCTCGCACTCCTCTCCCCACTACCCCGCTTATCTCCTCGAAGGCTCTCTTCACTGGCTCTCGCTTATCTTCCGCCAGGTCGACATTCTCCAGGATGTAGGCTACTTCTCCTCGGAGCTGTTGAATCATCACTAACACCCGCCGCAAATCCCGGAACGAAGCTCCCCGCGCGTCTTCCATCCCCAGGCCTTCTCCGGCTCTGGAATACCCTTGACATTCCCACCCTGCAATGACCAAGTCTATATGCCCCAAGCTCTCCAGCACGCCCTCGGAAATAGCTCGGACGTCGTGCACTGCTGGTTCCGTCTCGTATGGAAGCGTGTCCTCCCACATAAGATCTGGGTATTCGTCTCTTAGCAGCTCAACATGGTGGCGTGCCATCTTCCGCACGGCTGGATCCCACTCGACATGGATCCACTTCTTGACGGTACATCCGGCGCGCAATGCTGCTGCTAGGCCAGTCCCAACCCCCTTTTATAACTACAATATGCATATGGGCACGTCTAATGCCCGTACCCTGCTGACCCGCTCCTTCAAATCCGGCGGGCTCTGCCCCAAGAGTCGTCTCTCGATCCGCCTTTTGTTTTCCGCATCATATCGCTCCCAGGTCCAATCATCTAGCTCCTCGGTCAGATCCTTCCTTCGTGCCTGATACGCTTCTCTTGGCTCCTGCCGTACGAACCAAACCGGCAGCGTGCCGCCGGTGCTCTCTGGGTCCCAGTATTGCACGCGGAAGAGCACCTTCTCCTGCCATGTACAAATGGTGGCTCCTACTCGGTAGAGGAGCTCTATCCCCACGAGGACATCGTAGTCCTCAGATTCCGAGACGCCACACAACAGTCAGATACAGCACTCTTTCTTCATCTCTGGTAAGAGCACCACTTCCACCGGCTGCCTGGTTTTCGGCATCCGCTTCGGTTCCCCCCCTTCGGCAGTCATAAGTAAGATTCCCTGCTCGATGGTGCGCCCTGATACATCCAGCTTCAGTTGTTTAGTGAGTCCCTTGCCGATGAGCACATGATGCGCTCCAGTGTCAATGATAGCTTGCTTCACGGGCAGACCTCCCACGGTAAGACTCCCCTTTTCAGCAATCAGCACGGACGCTTGACACACCAGCCGCTCGTTCGGGTGCCGCCTCATATCCGAGGGTCTTGCTCCTTCTGCTGGACTGCCCCGGGGCCGGGAACCGCTAGTCACTTCGCTGCTCTGGGTCTGGCTAACGTGGGGTCGGAGTCTGATATCGTCTCGAGCCCGAGGATAGGCCATGGCTGCGTACTCTTGAATATATTCCTCCTCTTCCTCTTCCTCCGCATTGTATAGTTCTTCGTACGCCAACATTGCTCGCGCCTTTACCTCCTTCTGATTCGGTAGCTGCTCCAGTCTCTGCTGCAACCGCTTGACTTCGGCTTGGAGCTCCTCCCGCGTTGCCCCCAGCGTGTCCTTCGGCCGGCTGTAACAGTCCTCCTTCCGGTGCCCACGTTTCCCGCATTGCTCGCATGTCGGCGCGCTGTGACATTCACGCCTCAAATGCCCATGCTCTCCGCAGGTGTGACAGAGTCGAGGGTCCCCTCTGCTACTGCCCCTAGATGTAGGATCGGGTACCGCGGCTGCTGCCCAGCTCGTCTTGGCCCGGCTCCTTCCGTCCGAGTCTTCTAGATCCAGCAGTCTTTGCGCCTGTTCCGTTTTCTTCGTCAGCAGATAAACTTCCTTGAGAGTAACATCAGCGCCGATGCTATAGACTGTGCTCCGCACTACTCCCTTCAGCTCTTCGTCTAGCCCTCGTACGAACTTCCTCACCACCAGGCATTCGTCCGTGCTTTCCAGATCTTCGGCTAGTTCTCGAAGCCTGCAGTAGTAAGCCAGTAGCGATTCTTCCTTCTTACGGCGGAAGTCCCGGAACTCTTCAACGCGCGCCTTGGTCTACCCCGCGGACTCCTTCCGCAACAGCTACAAGAAGCGAGCCGTAGGATTGACTATCTCTCCTTCCGCCAGCTCGTCCAACACTTTATCGCGGGACAGGCGGTAGAAGGTCTCGGCCTCGCCTGCCAACGTCCCCACCATCTTCCCGAAGAACTCCGCTGGGTCATATCCGTCATGCTCCCAGCAATATTGGACGGTCTCGAGCTGCATCAGATAATTCTTCAGGCTGGGCCCCACGCCAGGAATACCCGTATACCGCTCTGCCACCTCCACCTTAGGCAAGTTAGTCGCCTTCCATCGAACTCCGCCAGTGCTTGGTCCCTCCTGTGAATCACCAGGAGCACCCGCGGCGCCGCTATGTATCAAGGCTCTCCCTCGCATGGGCTCTTGTACGAAGCTTTCCAACGGCCTCCAGCGTGCCTCAATCTGCTCCTTCCTCGGAGGCATCCCAGGCATTCCGGTTTGCGGGGTCGCAACTTCTTGGTTCTTCCAGCGTTCACGTAATTTCTCTGTCCAGCGAGCGTCGAGTGGATTATCTCCCGGGTCCAAGACGATAGTTCGCGCTCGTTCCATGCTATCTCCCACCACGCAAGCTCGTTGGTGTGGAGTCTGGTACTTATGTGAATCCGTTTCGCCACGTGCCGCTCTCGCGTCTCCCCGCGCTGCTATCTCGTCTGCACGCCTCCCCTCCGTAGGCTTCAACTCATCGGTGTCGTTCCACAGTCTCGTTCTTAATAACTCTCCACGATGCATCGAGATTCCTTGCGTGATTGTTAGTAAGTCCTGCAACACAACCTGTATCTAGCTCTGGAAACCCTAGCTCGGCTGACTGGATAACTGAATGTTGGGATCTGTATTGCTTGCGGCTTTGGTTTCACGTGCTCAGTTCGATGGGGTAGACGGAATAGTAAGCATAAGTGTGGAAACAATCACGCAAGCAATCCTTCCTCTGCTTGCCTATTTCTTAAGTATCAGCGTCGTGTTACCGTTGTGCTAACGGATCCCTCTCACCCGCCAACTCTCTACTTTTTCAGTTGTGTAGCTACACCCCCCTCGCTTTGCTAATCATCCTCCCTACTGTACTGTTCTATATTTCTTATTAGTCACGAGGATATATCTACTGCTCTACGCACAGATTAGAATCGTGACACGGCACGTGGGCAAAGGTGGAGGTGGAGTGCACATCCCCTTGCTGCTCAAATCCAGGGCAGAAACACACACCGCACACACATATGCATCTCCATGCACCTCAAACTCTGACTCACAACTCGCACACACTGATTGACCGCACCTTGAGTATCTCGAAGAGCGTGTACGCGATGTGTGCCAGCACGTAAGCGAAGGTAGAATGCACATGTACATACACGGTGAACTCAGATAATACCATGTGGACACACATACGCATACGCTGATTCACAACGCACATACATACATACATACATACATACATACATACATACATACATACATACATACATACATACATACATACATACATACATACATACATACATACATACTTACATACATACATACATACATGCATGCATACATACATACATACATACATACATACATACATACATATATACATGCATACATATATTCATACATACATACATACATACATACATACATACATACATACATACATACATACATACATACATACATACATACATACATACAGACTTGGTGAATATAAGCCGACGAACCTTGAGTATCGCGAACGAACAGCATGTACTCGATGTGTGTCGGCACATTCGCAAAGGTGGAGTGCGCATCTCCATGTATGGTGAAGTCAGGACCCATCACACCCAATCAACAAACACGTGGAATCAACAAACACACATACATGTGGAATCAACAGACGCACCTTGAGAATCTCGAACAACATGTATTCTATGTGTGCCGGCACGTAAGCGAAGATGGAGTGCACATCCCCATACACGTCAAACTCAGGGCAAAATCCGAACGTGCGGCAAGAGACGTCCGTGCACTGCTTGACCGCTGCTTCAACCACTGCTTGCATTGACAGCTGATGTAAGGGGAGGAGGGATGAAAGTGGAGAGGGATGTATACGTGGTGACAGAAGGGGCAGAAGCCAAAGGTGTGGCGAGACACGTCCGTGCACTGCTTGACCGCCGCTTGGACTACTGCTTGCATTGAGAGCTGATTCAAGGGAGGGCTAAGAGGACGAGAGAGGTGAACGCAGGGCAGAGGCCAAATGTGCGGCGAGACACGTCCGTACACTGCTTGACTGCTGCTTCTACCACCGCTTGCATGGAGAGCTGATAGGGGCGGGGGGAGGGGAAAGAGGAGTGCACATCCCATCCCCATGCAGCTCAAACTCAGGGCAGAATCCGAACATGCGGCGAGACACATCCGTGCACTACTTGACTGCCTTGACCACTACTTGCATTGACTACTGCCTCGACCACTGCTTGCATTGACTGCTGCCTTGACCACTGCTTGCATTGACTGCTGCCTCCACCACTGCTTGCATTGACTGCTGCCTCCACCACTGCTTGCATTGACTGCTGCCTCCACCACTGCTTGCATTGACTGCTGCCTCCACCACTGCTTGCATTGAGAGGGAGGAGCAGGGGGGGAGGTAAGAGGGCGAGAAGCCAAAGGTGCGTCGAGACACATCCGTGCACTGCTCGACTGCTGCTTGCATTGAGAGCTGATGGGAACGGGGGGAGGGGGGGCGGGAAAAGAGGGGAGGCGAATGCGAGGAGGGGAATTGCTGACACGAAGGGGCGGCGAGAGACGTCCGTGCAATGCTTGACTGCTGCTTGGACCACTGCTTGACTGCTGCTTGGACCACTGCTTGACTGCTGCTTGGCCTGCTGCTTGGACCACTGCATGCATGGTGAGCTAATTAAAGAAGGAGTAAGAGGAGGAAGGGGGGGAGGGAGAACACTGAGGCATGTCAGTTCACTGCATGACTGTAGATATTTTCAGGGCACAACAGGAGAGCACCTGAAAAGCACCTGGGAGTACCTGGGCCACACCTGTAGCAGATGACACGCACCTGGGAGCAGATAACGCCAATGAATCCTGGTCGTTGATGCTGCAGGCAGATGTGATGCTCTGCGATGATCCTGCAACTGATTCGCGACCGCAGCCTATGATGTAGATGGGCACGGGTAAGTGGAGTGGTGTGAGGGGGTAAGAGGGTGAGGGGTGAGGAAGTATGTGCGAGAGATTGTGATGTGATGCTCTGCAATGACCCTGCGGCTGATTCGCGATCGCAGCCTGTGATATGTGGGGGTTGAGGAGAATAAGGGAGGAGAGTGAGGAGGTGAGAAGTCTTTGGAATTGGGAGGAGTGGGAGGGGAGTAAGGAGTCATTTTGAGACGTCTCAAAGCAGCTCTTTTGTCACGTGGGAGTGAGGAGTCGCATGTGCAGTGATGCTCTGCAATGAATGACCCTACGCCTGATCCGCGACCGCAGCCTGTGGTATCTGGGGGAGAGGAGAGAGAGCAGAGTATATATATGAGAGACGCTATATTTATAGGGGGAGGAGCAGATGTGATGCTCTGCAATGATTTTACGGCTCTTGATTCTTTTGAATTTCTGGGAGCAAATTTCACAGTCTTGATCCTTTTGCTTAAGTGCTTTCTACAGCTCCCCAAGGAGCAAGTTCCATCGTTCCACCTAATCCACAATGAACCTGCCATGATGAACCTGCCATGATGAACCTGCCATGATGAACCTGCCATGATGAACCTGCCATGATGAACCTGCCATGATGAACCTGCGATGATGAACCTGCCATGATGAACCTGCCATGATGAACCTGCCATGATGAACCTGCCATGATGAACCAGCCATGATGAACCAGCCATGATGAACCTGCCATGATGAACCTGCCATGATGAACCTGCCATGATGAACCTGCCATGATGAACCTGCCATGATGAACCTGCCATGATGAACCTGCCATGATGAACCTGCCATATGATGAACCTGCCATGATGAACCTGCCATGATGAACCTGCCATGATGAACCTGCCATGATGAACCTGCCATGACGAGCCTGCCATGATGAACCTGCCATGATGAACCTGCCATGATGAACCTGCCATGATGAACCTGCCATGATGAACCTGCCATGACGAACCTGCCGTGATGAACCTGCCATGATGAACCTGCCATGATGAACCTGCCATGATGAACCTGCCATGATGAACCTGCCATGATGAACCTGCCATGATGAACCTGCCATGATGAGCCTGCCATGATGAACCTGCCATGATGAACCTGCCATGATGAACCTGCCATGATGAACATGCGATGATGAACCTGCCATGATGAACCTGCCATGATGAACCTGCCATGATGAACCTGCCATGATGAACCTGCCATGATGAACCTGCCATGATGAACTTGCCATGATGAACCTGCCAAAATGAGCCTGCCATGATGAACCTGCCATGATAAACCTGCCATGACGAACCTGCCATGATGAACCTGCCATGATGATGAACCTGCCATGATGAACCTGCAATGATGATGAACTTACTCCACGGGGGGAGGAGCAGATGTGATGCTCTGCGATGATTCTACGGCTCATTCGCGAGCGCAGCCTGTGGTACAGAGGGGGGAAGGGGAGTGATGGAAAAGGGTGTGAGTGGGTGAGGGTGTGAGGGGGTAAGGGTGTGAGGGGTGAGTAACCATGTGTGAGTGATTGCGATGTGATGATCTGTGATGACCTTGGGGTTGAAATTTCGACCGCAGCCTGTAATGCAGAGGTATGTGCATACATAGAAGCAACAATTCACACACAGCCACTCACATGTTGTCCAGGAAGGGATCCACGCCGAGCCCCCTCCCCACTAGTGGCCGCAGGGAGCACTCCCTGTTGTCGCTTGTGTGTGAACGCACACCACGCACACGGAAGCACTGGCTGACTCATCCAGTCACTCACAGTCACTCACACAGCCACTCGCATGTTGTCCAGGAAGGGATCCAGGTCGAGCCCCCTCCACACTAACTGTCAGAGAGATTACTCCCTCAACCCCCTATCACCCGCCCACCATCCAAGAAATGGCCACTCACACAATCACACAGCCACTCACATGTTGTCCAGGAAGGGGTCCAGGTCGAGCTCTCTCCCCTCTAGCAGCCGCAGAGAGCACTCCCTCATGCCCTGTGTGTGGATGCACACATATACAGAAGCAGTCACTCACTATGTCACACACAACCACTCACATGTTGTCCCGGAAAGGGTCCAGGTCGAGCTCTCTTCCCACTAGCGGCCGCAGAGAGCACTCCACTCCCTCACCCCCCGTGTGTACAAAGTGTGCATAAAGCGCATACGGAACGAGATTCAGCCACTCACATGTTGTCTAGAAAAGGATCTAGGTCAAGCTGTCTCCCCACCAGCGGCCGCAGAGAGCACTCCCTCACCCCCCGTGCCAGCTGAGTGGGAGGGGAAGAGGAGAAGAGAGTTGAGGGTAAGCTCCCTCCCCGCCAGTGGTCGCAGGGAGCCCCCACTCACCCCCCGTGCCAGCACTCCCAGGAGATGCGTGTGATCGTTCACCAGCTGAGACATGCAAGGGGATGGATAGTGATTGGGTGGGGTGGAGAGGGGTGGAGAGGGGTGTGTGTATGTGTACTTGTGACAGCCTAAGGGGAGCACTCCCTCCCTCCTCGCGCCAGCACTCCCAACAGTGGTGTATGGTCGTCCACCAGCTGAGACACAATGGGATGGCTGGTGGTTGGGTTGGTTGGAGAGGGGTGGAGAGGGGAGGAGAGGAGTGGAGAGGGGTGGAGGGGGGTGTGTACATATGTTACAGCCTAAGCGGGAACACTCCCTCACTCTCCGTGCCAGCACTACCACGAGAGGCGTATGGTCGTCCACTAGCTGGGCCATGCAAGGGGATGGATGGTGGTTTGGTGGGGTGGAGAGGGGTGGAGAGAGGTGTGTGTTCGTGTGTGACAGCCTTAGGGGAGCACTCCCTCACTCCCTGTGCCAGCACTATAAGCAGGGGCGTGTGATCGTCCACCAGCTGAGACACATGCAACACACAAGGGGATGGATGGTGGTTGGGTGGGGTGGAGCGAGGTGGAAAAGGGTGTGTGTGCATGTGATCGTCCAGCAGCTGAGGAACATGCCACGTGCATGCAACACACAGACAAGGGGGGCAACATACAAAGCGATGGATGGTGTGCGGTTGAGAGGGGTGTGTGCACGCATGAGAGGGTGGGGTGGACAGAGCACAGCTTTTCCGAAAGAGCAGTGTGCAGGGGCATGCATTGGGCATATACCCGCTATAGTGCGCCTCTATTAATCAACATTTGCACAATCTGTGAGATTCTGTGTGAATGGCATGTACACAGCCTGACATCACACAAACAGCATGTACCCGTTGTTGTTAGTCTTGATCTTGATCTCCGAAAGCGCAGTGAACACCCGAATATGGCATGTACCCGCTATAGGCTACCCCTTTTATAACAACAGCAGCACACACCATGGTGAGCATCTGAGTAAATTTCGAGAGTCTTGATCTCCGGAAATGCAGTGAGCATGTCAAAAGCCTGGCGGTAGGAGTCGTAAACCTGCAGATGAGGGGGAGAGAGGGCAGTGGGTGGTTGGGTTGCGAGCACATGCAAGCACACACATACGCTGAGAAGAGCCACACCGATGAACGCGGTGAGCATGCCAAAGGCCTGGCGGTAGGAGTCATACACCTGCAGATGAGGGGGACGGACGAGGGAGGGGGAAGGAGGGGTAGACAGATGCATCCACAGGCATGCAGATTACGTAAGAGCCCATTATATAGGCCTACCTGTGTAAATGCACTGTCTACAGTGACCATATGTACAGGCCCTACCTGCTTAACGTGCGGGTTGATGAAAACGATGTGGGGTAAGAAACTGCTAGCTCATCAGAATGTGGGCCGTGAAAGATAAGCATGGTGAACGGTGCAGTATGGTGAACGGTGCAGTGTGGTGAACGGTGCACTGTGGTGAACGGTGCACTGGGGTGAACGGTGCACTGTGGTGAACGGTGCACCCTGGACGAACGGTCAAGATAAGCATGGTACTCATAAGCACGGTACTCATAAGCATGGTACTCATAAGCATGGTACTCATAAGCATGGTACTCATAAGCATGGTACTCATAAGCATGGTATTCATAAGCATGGTACTCTTAAGCGTGGTGCTCATAAGCATGGTACTCATAAGCACGGTACTCATAAGCATGGTACTCATAAGCATGGTACTCATAAGCATGGCACTCATAAGCATGGTACTCATAAGCATGGTACTCATAAGCATGGCACTCATACGCCTACCTGCTTGATGTGCGGGTTGATCACAACGATGTGGGGTAGGAATTGAAGATCCATCAGCCGTTTCGCCAGCTGTACAAGCATTTTCCGATGCACAAACCTGGGAAAATAGATACACGGGGCAGAAATAAGGATTAAAACAAGTGTCAGAAAAAAAAAAAAAATGGACGCACCAAGCCAGGTGCGCAAACACACATAACGGAAATATGAACTGTCAAGATTGTAGACGCCTTAGTCGACAAAAGTGTGCTTGCTATTGTCGATGACGTTCTCCTCGTTCTCACGATTCCAACGATATGTGCAGCGGTTAATTCTGTCAACGTTTCACTAACGTTTGACTATTTTCTGTTTCACCAACGCTTGACTGGCGCTTCACTGGTGCTCTGCAGAGGAATTCGGTTCGCGATTCCTTCACTAGTGTTTGGCGATGCCTTCACACTGAAATTCGCGTCACTGGTGCCTCGCGGGGCCTTCGCGAATGCTTTCGCGGGGAATTGACGATGATTTCACTGAACTATGACAAAAGTGTCACCAATAGGATTTGAACACTGGTTTTCACCAAGCGAGAGATTTCCCAGATGTTGTACTCAACTGACTAGTACAAATGCTTTATACTCTACCCCACACACACATGTAACCGAACCAAAAACGTGTCCCACAAGCAAACCCCTAGTAACCAAACTTGTCCCACACGCCAAGTGTCACGTCAAGACGCACACGCAACCCCAACACTTTCGTCGAACACTCCCCAAGTCCGAAAAACAGAGAATTGTTGAACACGCCATCTATTCAACCCCAATTCTTTCCCCGTCAAACCAACTCTTCTCCCCTAGTCATTTCTTCACCAATCTTCCTTCCATTTCACTCAAACTTCTTCCCGTATCTTCTATTTCCGTAGCTCACACACCAAGCAACTTAGTGTGAACGGGAGTTGTGTGTTGGCCCCGTCCTCGCTTGGGCAGAGTCGACTTCATGGTCGGGTGTGAGGGGAGCAGCCGACCTGCAGTAGTGGGCGAGCTGGTTGACGTGGAGGTCGACTTGCACGGGGGCCACTGCACGAGCGCCGACTTCAGGGTGACGCCGACTTGGGGCAGCCGACTTGGGTAGTCAGCTGACAGGCCTGCTGGTCGACTTGGTGGTAGGTCGACCAGGCGTGATGTCGACCTGGTGGTCGACCTGACCTGGTGGTCGACGTAGGAGGGGCCGACGTCGACCACAACTCAGGGTGCCGAGCAGCAGGGCGTCGAGTAGTTGGGCGTCAACTTGGTGACGCCGACTTCGGGTAGCCGACTTGGGTGGTCGGCTGACAACTACGCTGGTCGACATGGAGCTGGTCGACCAGGAGTGCTGGTCGAGATGGAGCTGGTCGACCAGGAGTGCTGGTCGACATGGAGCTGGTCGACCAGGAGCGCCGGTCGACATGGAGCTGGTCGACCAGAAGTGACGTCGACCTGGAGCTGGTCGACTAGGGGCGTGGTCAACTTGGTGAGGTCGACTTGGGGTGGTGATCAACTTGGGAGGTCGACGGGCACGTACGGGAGCAGCTGGTCGACGTGTTGCCCGGTCGACCGGGTTACCTGGGTGACGAGGTTCTGTGGAGGAGTGCAATGGTCGCCAACGCGAAGTTGGCGAGTCCGACCTTGGTGGTGGTATCCCGAGGTCGACGTGGCAGATCAGATGCAGTTGCCAGCGCCATGTTGACTTGGTGTGTGCGCTGTGAAGATGACAAGGCTCAGCACGCCAATCATCTGCGAGCACCTACGAAGCTGGTGTGTTGTTGTACTACGGGAGCTACACTGGCACGCCATCCACCTGCGACGTTGGCACGCCGTCGACTTTGCCCTGCTGGAGCGCGGTCGACCAAGTCGTGCTGGAACGCGGTCGACCATGTTGCGCTGGCAGTCGACCGACGTGAATGCTAGCTCTGATGTAGTCTTGCCATGCCAACTGCATTGTACCATTGTTGTTTACTTTCTCTAGTGAAACTCTTGTCAACTTACCCCGCGAACTAGCAAGCAGTGTGAGCACTAGGAAAACGACTAAGGACCAACAAACGCAGAGATCACACGAGCACCCGTGCCTAGCCCGTAGTCTTGCTCCCGTTGTAGTAGTTATCTCCGCATGGTGTAGTGAGCGTGGATGGCACACGACTTACCTTTCAGTCAGGTTGACGTAGAGGCTACTTACCTAAGTTGTTCGTAGGCCGGCAGCCGTGCAGTCACTAACGTGCGCGTAGGTGACACCAAGGTGATGGACACCCTGGAGGGACGGCTGGAGGATGCGAGGAGACGCCATGAGGCCCAGGAGTACGGGGCGATACCCTGGGCGGTCGTCGAGGCTGGACTCCGCACCATGTGGGCGACGGAGCATACCCCTTCTTGATCGGCTTCTCCTCGACCTGTGACCAACGAAGGAAGCGTCGACGTGGGCGTCCACGCCGGAGGTGGAGAAGTCGGCAGCAGTACGGGAGGCACGTCGAGGCAGCGTGGAGTGATTCACGCCGATGAAGTCGGCGGCGTTCACGCGCGACGGGTGCAGTCGTCGGCGGCTGCAAGCCCCTTGCAGGGTGACGTCGGAGGTCGACGAAGCGGGTTGTCGCCGATTTTGGCGACCCAGGTGACGGCGGGCGGGATTGCACCAAGCTACGGCTACTTCAAGTTTACGCCGGACAGGATCTTGATCACCCTGCCACTCACAAGTTGACCCGACAACCTCACCTGAAAGGAGGCCATTGAGCCTCACCTGGAGATGGCCGGGCTGACCAGCTTTGCCTGAGGCACTGTGGCGATGCCGGACGACCCCGACCTGCGTGCAGAGTTTCGCGTCGTGCAACTGTTGACCTTCACGGTCATCTCGCGGTGCTGCTCGCCGGACGTACAGATCGCCTATAAGTGGTGCCGAGAGTACCTCGACGCCGGCCACCAAGCGTGGCACTTTATCGAGTCGACCTACCAAGTCACCGACGACTTGTTCATCACCCAGCAGAAGGGTCAGCTGACGCACCTGCATATGGGCGACGAGGAGACAACGACCGACTACTGCAACCGGGCCAGGCGAATTCTCGCCACCATCAGGATGGCCGGCCCGCAGTAGTCGACGGCGTCGTATGTTACCCACATCATGCAGTTACAACCTCCTGAAACGGCTGTCGATGGCGCCGAGCACGAGGACGACGCTCAACGAGGACAACTTGACCTCGTACATCCTGCAAGACGAGGCGATGCAGGAGGCTGAGCTGTCGCAGGAGCTCTTGGCGCAGGCAAACTTCGTCGCCCCGAGGAGGCAAGGAGGTCGACCGGGGCAGCGCGGGCTATCCGGTGGCGGTGGTAGCAGTGGCTGGAAGGAGGCCACGAAGGTCAACAAGAAAAATTCGACCAAGGCAAGCGGTCGAGGAGGAGGAGGTCGACGTCGGGAGTGCTGGCTATGCGGCAACCCCGACCACCTCTCCTTCGAGTGCCCCAACCACAGTGACTCCGATGAAGACAACGCCAAGGGAGGCCACAGGAGGTCTGGCAGTCGTTGTCCTCGTCGAGGAGGAAACAAGCCGCGGAAGGAGAAGCAGTCGACCAAAACGTCGACTTCGGCGAAGGACGCCGACTCCTCTGCTGGCGACAAGGGACAGAACGACAAGACGGCGTCGCGCTCGCTAGTCGGCATCGTGGAGCCGACCGTCTTGCTGGCGTCGGAGGTCGGAGAGGATTTCCAGGCGGTGGTGGCTGCTGTGCAGGCAAACCCGGTGGTGGTCCTGCTCGACAGCGGCTACTCCCACCACTTGATGGGGACAAAGGAAGTCTTCGTCGACCTGCAGCCGAGCGGCTCTATCAAGCACGTGCGTGGCTTCAATGGGGCTCTGCAGGACGTCCAGGGCCGCAGCACCGTCGCCCTGCAAGGGGAGGCCGGGAAGCAGGTGCTCATCGTCGACGTGTTGTACGTCCCGGGTGTGCGGGCAAACCTGCTGTCGTCCAGCCAGCTGAAGGAGCACGGGGTGAAGCTGCAGGAGGACGGCAACGGGATGCTGCTCGTCTCGGTAGTGGGAGAGGTGCTCGGTCGGGCGATGTACTCCGGGCGTGTCCTCTGCACCGACCTGTGTCCCTGCTCAACGAGGTCGGCGTCGTCCACGCGAGAGGTTGTGGCCCTGCGGGCGATCGTCTCCAAGAGGAAGTCGACGCCAAACAGGATGCACGCGAGACTTGCGCACATCGGCATGGACACCATACGCAGCTCGGCGAAGAACGAGGTCGCCATTGGGCTGGACCTCAAGTCAACATCGGGGGCCGACTCACAGTGTGTCTCGAGCGTCGGAGGGAAGCTAGCACGGCACACCTTCCCTGACCACAGCTCTGACGCCGCTGACGTACTCGCCGTCGTGCACATCGACCTGTGCAGGCCGTTTCGCGTGGCTGCCAAGGACGGCAGCATGTACTTCTTGCTGCTGAAGGACCGCAAGACCCGCTTCGTGTGGGTGAGGCCGGTTGCCAAGAAGTCGGATGTGCTTTTGGAGTTCCAGAAGTGGCTGGTGTTGGTGGAGAGGCAGGTGAAGAAGTCGGTGCTGATGCTGCGCTCAGGGCGAGGAGGAGAGTTCCTCGGGAAGAAGTTCACCGACTTCGTGGATGGCAAGGGGATCGTCCACGACCTTACCTGCCCGTACACCCCGCAGCAGAACAGCATGGCGGAGCGGGAAATGCGGACGGTGGTGGAGTCGGTGCGGACGATGTTGCTGCACATGGGCGTGCAGCACCACAGGTGGCAACTCGCTCTGCGGCAGGCCGTCTGGGTCCGCAACTGCCTTGAGCGGTCGACGCTGCCGCCGGGTCGACTCCGTACCAGCTGCTGACAGGACAGAAGCCCGAGTTGTCGCTGGCGCGGGTGTGGGGTTGCATGGCGTAGTTCCTCGTCAACGAGCAGGAGCGTGGTGGGAAGCTGAAGCCGAAGGCGAGGTGGGGCCTTCACCTCAGCGTGTCGACGGAGAGCAAGGGCTGGGAGCTCCTCGACATCGACGCAAACCGGGGGGTCACCACGTCAGACGTGGTGCTCTACGAGGATATGTCGTTGGAGGTGTGGAAGTCGGAGCACGGGCCGGTGTC